GCTGTGGGTCCCTCACGTGCCCCGTCAAACATTAACAGCCCCTCTGCCGGGCGGGTGCACGGCCGGCAGCAGCACCCATCCACCATGGCGCTCAGCACCCGCCTTGCTTTGCGCCTCCAGCCTGCCCTGGCAGCTCTGCACCGGGCAGCCCCCGGACAATGCCGGGGGCTCAGCACCCCCTCAGGACCAGGGCACACACTCGACCTCAGGGGCATCTTCCCGCCCCTCGCCACCCCCTTCTCACCCACGCAGGAGGTGGACTATGCCCGGCTGGAGGGGAACCTGCACCGCTACGCCAGCATCCCCTTCCGAGGTAAGCGCTGCCCGCTGCCCCTCTCTGTGCAGGCTCCTGCCAGACCCCTGCCCACTGCAGGGGCTGTGTGGCAGCATACAGGCAGCCTGCCAGCTTCCCAAGTGTGCTCAGCCTCCAGCCGGACTTTGCTCTAGGGCTGGAGCCCCTTGGGTGACCCACCTGGGGCCCTTTGCACAGCACGTGCCCTGGCACACGCGCGTCCTTGCCCACTCCCGCCCCACCCCAGGGCGTGCTTGCATGCACGCTCCACACGTGTGCAGGCTTGCACACAACCTCCACAAGTAGCTGCAAGCTTGCGCCTACCCTCTGCCCCATAGGTGTGCTTGCACATCCACGCACACTCACACAGATTCAGCGCCACAGGATGTGTATCTGTTGATCGCCCAGCGTGGATGGATGCGAGGAGAGGGGCTGCAGGAAGAGGGTGGGGGTTGCAGGGATGTGCCCCGGGGTCTCCCCTCTTCTGACCAGGCTGTGAGTCCAGGGCTGAGGGGGCGGAGACAGGAGAGGGCACGCTGCGGGCTGTAGAGCCCTGCCTGGGTGCCCAGCAGCGAGGAAGGGAGCAAGGGTGATGGGGGCACCTGGCACTCCCAGCACCCTGGGGCCCTGGATGCCGCGGCAGAGCCCAGCAGCACCGGGCTGGAGCTGGCCTGCCCATGTCCATGGCTCTGGCAGGGTCCCAAGGAAGGGGTCTGTGTGCCCCAGCTGGGGACAGGGCAGCACAGCCTGGCTGCGGGCACCAATGCATGCCTCGCTAGCGGTGCTGTGTGGGGCAGTTTCTGGGGACGGAGATGAGCAGGCGGTGTGTTCAGCCCACAGATGCATGCATGCCACACAAAAGGGTGCCTGGGTAGAAGATGGCACCGTCTGTGCTCAGTGTGGTGCAGGTGGGCACTGCCATCTGGGGGGCACATATCCACACGTGCCCTTTGTGGGGCAGCGCAGGGCTTTGCGGGCCACCTGCGGGAGCCTCCTGGCCCAGGGGGGCTGCTGGATTCAGGCATCAGGCTGCTCCAGGTGCCTGGTGCCCACCCGAGAATGGGGTGCGGAGAGGGCAGGGATGGCCGCCCCGTGGGCACCGTGCTTCTGTGCCCAAGCCCTGCCGTCCCCACGCTTGTGTTTCAGGGCTGGTGGTGCTGGGCTCCAACGGGGAGTACCCCTACTTGG